ACGCACCCACTTTCAAAAAATGACGAGAAAAAAAAAAATGCTAATAACGCAAAAAAAAGCTTTGAAAACCTAAAACGATAGCCAGCCACCAAAACTCAATCGTCGCCATCATTATGGAAATGTTTAAATATAATGATTAGCGACAGTACAACAGCATCATTAGGATCACCGCGTCTTTACATATTAAACATCATCTGTTTAAAAATCTGAAAAGAGAAGAAGTGTGAGTGGGTCGAATATGGGCGCGTAAACTTTCATGACGAATAACAGCAAAAAGTAACGAAAAATATCAAGGCAGCCGCGCAGCGTTCATATTGGTTGGTCTTTTCAGACCTAAGAGACACACTCTGGCTTGATTTTGTTGATTTTAGAAACTTTTTTTTTTTCCACTATTTAAAACGAATTGGGTGCGTGGGGACCGTAGCAGTAGTAGTAGTAGTAGTAGTAGTAGTAGTAGTAGTAAGCGAGAAGGGAGGGTAAAAGTATAGAAAAAGCCAAGAACCGGTTAAAGAATCAACAATAAGCAGAAGCTTCATAAACTTTCTGGTTGCGATCGTCTTAGCGTTTTACAATTAAACAGTATATGTCTGCATGTATGTAACGTATTCAGGGTGACAGGCGACAAATAATAGGTGAAGTGTATATAGAAAAGTTTTATATGAGAAACACATGCACACACACACACACACACACACACACACACACCGATCCAAATTTGCATAAATTGTTGATGTTATTAAATACTCAGCGTTTGCTTGATGGTTTGTGTATTGGTCTCTTTGGGGTTATCTTAAGTGCTCAAAACTGACATAAAAAAAAAAAATAAATAATAATAATAATACTAAAAAAAGAATCGAAATATATAGCTAGCGGGTGTGTTATTAAATTTATTTTCAAATAAAAATGTACAACCCAAGTTAAAAGCGATATTAAACACATCTGCGTGTGCGTATACGTTCACGTCTAAGCCCACAATTCAAATAACCCACCCAACCCATAATTTTCCAACATAATGCTACATACATATATATATATATGTTATTTTTATTTATGCAAATGTATTTATGTGCATGTACAAGTGTATATATCTACGCGTATATATATTCGTGGACCACTGACCACACTTTGCATCGATGTCATTAAGTATAGTATAGTTGCATGACAGTGCCACAACAACCGCATTTTATATTAATGAAAGCCTTCAAGTCATAGGGTGGGCATATTCGTTTTGCATTTACTGTCCCACAGCAACAATAGTAAACAGACAACTTTATGTCGCCTCATGTTTCGTTTTTTCCTTCACTCTTTTTTTTCTCATTTCATTTCATAATTTGTTATATGCGTATGCGGTGAAAGGCCAAATTAATGTTATCGCTACACCAACCCACTTGCGTATGTATACACGATGGCATGATGAGCGTTATAAAGAGGCTTTAATTATGTTTATTAAATACAAAAAGAAAAAAAAAAAAAAGAAACAAAGGAAAAGGAAATAAAGTTTCTACAGATATTAAAACACTTACGAAACTTCAAGGCATGCGCCAATTCATCATATTTATGCGCTACATCACTTGCCGTATATGGTATATTAAGTTCCGTCTTTGCGAATATTTGACACCCAAAAAGCCTTGAGATACACCCTAGGTATCGATTCAGTATCATTTCAATCGTTTTGAGCTGATCTGTGAATACCTCTATCCGTCTGATGCCTTTTTTTTGATATTTTGATGAAATTTCTTGCATTGACGGTTAACGCGTTTAAAAAAAAAAGGAGCTTAAAAACGGGTTATGTGTGAAATAACATGTCGCGACAAGTGGCCTCCATGTACACATTCTTTTACCGATATATTCTGCCGGGTTTTTTGCATAGATGTGTCTGGATTTCGTTGATGCAGCTTTGAGTCTCTGAATTTTTTGGTTGAACAATAAAACGAGTGACTCCCACCTGTAGTGCTCAATATTTCCTAACTCTATTACCAAGTTTCTCTTTTTTTGCTTGCCAACTATTTACCATACGAATACCTGAAAATTCATATCTTGCTTAAATTGTGGCCCACTATGTATTTATTGTGCGACGGGGATCATTTATATTAGACCTCAAAGGAGAACATTTTCTTCTTCTGTTCCTTCCTTCGCATTGTAAACAATCTAAGATCTAAATAATAAATAGAAAAGTTAAGTTGTATTCAGTTGGCAACGTTACACAAATATATGTGAAAACTTCCAGATTTTTGAGAGGGATATTGTTTAGAGATTCCCAGGTGATGAAGTCCTAAAATTAATTCAGTCAATTGCATGTGCATTCAAGGGCAAGGAACGCGTACTTCCAAACTAAACGCTTACACATGCGAGCTAATAAAATTATATACATGCAAAAGGGGCGGAAGAATATACGGTCTCCAAGCTTTGTCAAGAAAAATAATAATTTTTATCGTGTTTATGATGAGACGCGTTTCCAGCGTGATACGCACCTTTGGCGTCAACTCGCAGATGTAAAGACGACGTTGTCGCTCTCTTGCATTCTTTCCACACGGAACTTCAGGAACTATCTACCAACAGTGCTCTTTCGAACCATGTCTGATGATTCCACTTTTAAGTAAAATATGCACCTCTTTTCGACCGCCATTGCGCTCCCATGTGGCTGGTTGCATACGAATAAAAAAAAAAACAAGTCCCAAGAAATTTGGGCAATAGGCCGTACCTAGATGCCGGGAAACGTGCTTTTATATAAAAGTGAAAAGTTTTTATTTATGGCTTGAGCGCAAGATTTTCTCCAACTAGAAACTGGGCAACCATCGAAGGCATTTTTAAACTCTTTTGTTGTGGGCTGTCAGTCCTAATTTATTTTTACTTACTGTGTTTCTGATGCTTATTACATATTTAAATGTATCTTTATACTAGAGTGGATACAAAGAATCGCCTTGAGACAAAGCTTTTAGAGCTGAAGTGATATCTTTGCTCTTTGTTTTCAAATAAACATTTTCTCAGTAAGCGATTTTCTAGGTGACCACCGTCTCACCACATCCCAGCGAATTTGCGGTTGTTAATTTGCTGAATAACAGAGGAAGAAGAAGAAGATATTAAGGATTTTTGATAGTAGAAGGACAGCAGTGATTTTGAAATTCAAATGGTGCAAAATATAAGCGAGAAAAGCTTTGCGCAAATGCGTATTAGTGGCCTGTTAGTGTTTATAACGAGAATGGTAAACACTGTTTGGAATCACGTTATTTTATTTAACCTAATTTTTCAGAAAACTACAGAAGAGAAAAAAAATGTTTTTCTTCATTTTTTCTACGGTCATTATTCCCATGAACTTGACTACTTGCCGTTTTTGCTGCTACTGCTGCTGCTGCTGCTGCTGTTGCTATTGCTGCTCTTTATCATAAATAACAAGTCGTCGAGTAGACAGAGCAAAAAGAAAAGAAAAAAACCCAAACAATAAACCTTATGAATGAAGCTTTTTTTTAGTCAAGCAACAACTGTTGCGTTTTTTCTATACTTTTTTCTTCTTTTTTTGCCATGGAATAAAAACAAAAAATAAACCACAAATAAATATGTGGTAAGGGCACCAAAATGTGTTTTCATACCTTGTAACAAACAGAAAAGTTTAACTTAGAGGAGAATTTTGCAAAAAAATAAAAATAAATAAATAAAATAAACAAAAACAAAAAGGAAGATATAAGTAAAACAAGTTTAAGCTTCAAAGTCTTCTTTTCGTAGCCTTAACGATAATAACGATGATGATTATGCTGATGAAAATGTTGATACCAACCATTATCCACCCACTTTAGTGTTATTAAAAGTGGAACAACAACAGTAGGCAACCGAGTGAATAAATGAAAAGAAGTAGAAGTTAAATGTTGAGCATAAGTACGAAGAAGTATTTCGCTGCATATGTTAATATTATAATATGCATGAGCTTTATGAGTGTGAGTATGAGTATGAGTATTGGATTTACAATGCAAGTTAGGAAAAGCGTCATTGGCTTTTTAAGGCGACACTCAGACACCCATTACTGGCGGGAATATCCCAAGCTCTTGAATCATAATTTCGATCATATGATTAGGAATTATTCGAATTAGGTCTATTACTTCTACTTCTTCTTCTGCGTGTCAGCAACTGAGCTGTGTTTAAGATTTACAGTTCTGCCGAAGTGTTTTCGTGGTTGTCTGTTCATATAAGAATTGGACAATATCTTAACGAATTCTACTATATATGGTGCAAGGTAGTCGGTTTAATGTAAATGATTGAAAAGATTTTCGCAAGTGTTATAGAATCGAGCTGAGAACCGTTCTTGTCGCTGGGATTTTCGGTGTGCGACACAGCTTCCGATAAAAGGCTGAATTAAGAAAAAGAATTTATAGACAGCATTAGAATCGCAATCTAATTTAACAAAATTTTGCTCGATTCTAAACAGAGCGGCAAAACACGTGCATTCCCCTTTTTGCAATAGGGTATTTAAGAAAAACGATACGTAAATCAAAACGAAGGCCTTTTGGCGGACGGCTAACAACTAAAGCTCTCGTCAACTGTTTTTTTTTTTTTTTTTTCTTTTTGCCTTAAAAATTAGCATAAACTTGTAAAGCCAACCAAGATTTCCTGTACATCTCGTGTGTCGTTAATAAGTAAGAAGTAAAAGGTAAAAAGGAAACTCTCTGCGTTTCTCTGGTGGGTGGCTATTAATAACCAAGACAAACATACCTAATATGAAATTCATTTCAATGCTTCCGTCCCTTTACTGTTCGTTATAGTTTCGTGTACATACAACCTTTCCTTGACCTTATCAAAACCCAAGCTTAGTTGTTAATAATATACTTGGAATAGTATATTAAACGCACACATGGCCATATAATTGATATATTGCGAAAAAAAAGAAGCAATGACGCCCCCTCTACATGCATACGTGCTATACACAGATGTGCTTTTTTTTATTTATTGAAGCGGATGTTTACCATTTGTTTCTTTATTTTATTTTCGTTTGTTTTTTTTTTTTTTTGCAGTTGTCGGTGGGGATTGATTATCAACGTGGAAACGCCGGCATCAATACTCGTATTCCTATCGCATTGAAACCCTTTGTGGTAAAACAAATTGACACAAACGCAACAACAGCACGAGCACTGTTTATGGTATTAATACCATGGCAACAGTAATACCACCGACCTCAAATGTTGAGGCCGCGTATGAAGATATGTTTAAAGAAATCACAAGAAAACTATATGGCGAAGAGACCGGAAATGGTTTGCACACGTTGGGCACTCCTGTTGCGCAGGTGGCAACTACAGGACCAACAGCAGCTCCAGACGGTGAACAACGTTCATTTACAAATTTGGTAAGAGGACGAGTGTTCCATATGACAAAAAAGTAAAACACAAGAGATTTCAGATTTTTGTACAAAGATTTCGGAGCTACCCAATGCCAACTATTATTTCCCTTGTTTCTAAGCAATTTTTACTTATAGATCTTTTTTCGTACTTTTCAAATCTCCATAAAATTGTCTAAAACAACCTTGAAATTTGTCTTGACATAATGATTTTAAATGTAATATATATATATATGCTCTTATAATCCGCAACTTTAACTAATAATGTATGTAATGGGAAATATGAGCCCCCTGTCAGCATGTTTCTTTTTTTTTTTTTATATATATTCACAGAAATGGTTTGGTTGAAATGTAATATATAATCTTTTTTATATAAATGTATCAAAAATATAAATTCATCTCCCCTTGTACGTCTCCTGAATAGTTTTATACAATTTCTATAGGCGTGGCATTCGATTTTATCCTATTTTCAAAAAAAAAAAGAATATTCTCTTTCCATATATATTCACAGAAATGGTTTGGTTGAAATGTAATATATAATCTTTTTTATATAAATGTATCAAAAATATAAATTCATCTCCCCTTGTACGTCTCCTGAATAGTTTTATACAATTTTTATAGGCGTGGCATTCGATTTTATCCTGATCTAAGTCCACTGACCGCAACCACCTCTTAATCATTTCGGCGGTTTTATTCGCTATAGTGGTAATTCCCTCCAAAGTTTTTGCCACGATAGTTCTCGCTATATCATCAGCAAAACTCATGACGGATGCTCCCTCTGGAAGAGGTAGTCTTAGGATATCGTCGCACATTACGTTCCATAATGTAGGGCCTAGGGCTGATTCCTGAGGTACCTCTCCAGTGATCAACCTTTCTCTGCACCCTTTATCCGAATCGTATCGAAGTGTTCGGCCAGTAAAATATCTACCCACTATATTTATAAGACACGGTCAGATTTTTAATGTCCAATTCTCCAACCTGTTCCTTTTATCGGTTCTGCTGCAATATTTGGTAGACACGCCTCGCTGAGTTACATTGAACCCTTAGTTCGGCTATCTTGTCTGCCCACCTGTATACTGACTCCTCGCTTTTATTGAGTAAACTTTACCGCACTAAGCCACGCGATCACAGTGCTCCGAACTATAGATGGACTGACGGATTCGTTTCTGCCTCAAATCCCATACGATTTCTCAGTTTGTAGACGATAACGAACGTAGTGTCAAAAGATAATAATGCCCTGCCCTTATGTAAACTTAAATTTGAAATCAACTACTTTTTCAAAGCACATTGAGCGAAATTGTGCGAATAGGATCACGGATATTTATGAAAAAAGATAGAAAATAATCGTAAACAACACTTTTTTTTTTAATGTATGCAAGGCGAATTTTCAGGAATTTCTTTTTACCTGTATGAACTCTATATCCATGGCTTAAGAAATAATAATTGAACTAATTTTCCCCTTCTAGCAAATTGATCGTTCAGTTCAGCCCACAATAGAATATGAACACAATGCTGGTAGTGGAGCCGGTGCGGCAACAGCTGCCGGTTCTACGGCTGCTACTGCTGTGACTGTCGTTCAGAATGCCGCTAACGTTATTATACAGCAACAACATCAGCCACAGCAACAACCACAACAAATACCTGAAGGTTCAGTGGTTGTCACAACTACAGGTGCTGCCGGTGGTGGAGCTGGTGGTGGTAATTTTAAATCGGAAGATCATCTTAGTACAGCTTTTGGCTTGGCCGCTTTAATGCAGCAAAATGGTTTTGCCACCACCACGGGCACAATTTTGAGTACACAAGTTATAAATAAGGTGATTACTACAGCGGCTGGTAATGGTAATAATGGCCAACAGCAACAACAACCGCAGCAGACACAAAATGTGACAGGTGGTGATCAACAACAGCAGCAGCAACAACAACAACAACAACAACAGTCATGGAATAATGAAGGTGCTCAAGATCAGCAACAGCAGCAAGCACAACTTCAACCTACCACACAAATTGTTCAATGGACAACTACACCAAGTGGTAAATTGCAAAGTTATACAACAACCACACAACCTCAGACTCAACCTCAACCTCAACCTCAAACACAACCACAGTCACAATTAACGACCACATCAACGTCCAAAGCAAAGTGAGTATGGTCATAAAAACATCAAGCAACTTCATGTCACAAAATTTATTTATTATCGGATAAAGGCATTTCTGCTTTAACTGATATCTCTTTTTGCCTCAGCTTCCTATGTTTCGCTTTATCGGCAAGGAATTTTTTGACAATTTCCTCCACTTCCGGTCCATAGGAAGTGTCGGCAAGTTCTTTCGAACATTTTGACCAAATATCTGTAAATGCACCTTTCGCCTTAAATTGCCTGATAAATTTATCTCTCATTTTCCACTTTCTAAGCATTTCGGGAGTCCAAAGTTCAATTTGGCATTTCACATTAAGATCGGGTTCGTAGGTTTCAGCGTAGATTCTTAATTTCTCTTCGTTCGAAGTCGGTATCTTCACATGCGGTTGCGTAAAAATGCCGTAAGGATCGTAAGTTTTCGAAAAATTATGCTTACGCACTTTGTGCCAATCAAGTTTCAAAAGTGTACTATAAAGATGCTTGGGATGCCCCAATATCCCAAAACTGATACCATTGAGAACTAGCTGGGCAACATCTACAAGAAATTCCATTTCAATTTGCCTTATCCTAAGATCAGTACCTTTATATTTTTGCTTTCCTATCGACAAAATTGGTAAATTATGTTGGCTAACATTGTTTAGCTCCTGAATTAAAGGTGAACATTGAATGCGATAATTGCTTCGTTTATAGTTCGGACCATACAACATCTGGCCTTCCGGTTTATTGAATTTTAATCTTGGATAACGTGTCAGTTTAAAATGTTCCGAACGAAACAAACGATTCATTTCCATATCAATGACGTCATAAGCACGTCGATGCATCGTTATCCAAACGACTTGAGTGCAAAATGCCAAAAGTGATTCATGAAAATACTTATCATACACGGTCTTTGATATGTTCACAATGGGTCTAAGATGATAGAATTTTTTTACATCACCTTCGCCCAAAATAATGCGACTATATTCTCGAGCCAATAGCAAGCGATATTGTTGCAAGTGAGCTGAATATACGCGTCGAATATCTATATCCTCAATGCCTAATATTTGAGCATCGTCTGCGGCCTCCACATCTCTTTCAATTAATATAAATTCCACTATTTTTAGATAATATTCAAAATACATAATGAGAGCCTTCAGAAGTCCATTCGCTGTTTCAGTGTTAATGAAATCAATTAAACTTGCAGTCATTAATGTTGCTGGTGCCAAAAATGCGACCACATTCTTAACATCTTGTATTAAAATCGAATCGGAATCGTATGTATTAGAGGGTCTCTGGAATTCTTGCCGAAAAAGATGTTCGTCCGCTTCGTCAAAAGTAGTTGAAAACTTGAAATTGTTCGTGATCATGAAAGTTTCCTTTTTCGCATGTGGCAAAGCCCCTTTTCGGCTGTCACATTCAATGCTTTCCTTTTCTCTGTTCGAAGACCAATGGCCCCTAACTTGTATTGGGGTGATATTCGACATACAAAGGCAAATTATTTTCTTTGGCGGTAAAAGCAATTTATAACGGACACGGGCTTCTTTTTTCTAAAACTCAAATAACTCTTCAAAAAACGTGGCATAAAAATTACAAAAAAAAAAAAAAAAATTAAAAATTTAAATACACGAACTATACTAAGTTCAATTGATTCTCGTATGCCTGCTCGTGAGATACTAAAATATGTTTTGATTAAACTTTAAAAAGTTGACTTAGCAATAACATACAGGTAAACCTCGTATGGCACGATACATTTATAACAGAGATTCGAAAAGTGTGGGCAATCGCGACACAGTTCGAGAACACGCTTTTAAAGTGTGAAGACAAAGAAAATCGTGATTTCAAAGTCTTAATGTTAATGGTAGCAACAATGGGATCGTACACAAAACGTTAAAACTGCCTAAAGGTGATGGTAACACGTGCATTACTAACCTCTTGCTCCAATTGTTAGATCTAAATTAATTTCATGAAGTTGAATATTAGTTGGATTTTCGCCTGATACCGAATTACTGGAGGTGCATTTTCTATAAGACCTTCGTATGAAGAAAAAAAACCAACCGAAGCTACTTTTGTGTAACGCTTATATCTAAAAATCATTACTAGGTGTCTGAATATCGAACTATGGATTTTGTTAATTTCAAGGCCAGTCGCAAGTGCCTCTTGAAAAGAATCGGCGATGGTAGAGACGGCCGCACATGT